ATGTGCTGTGAACCTTTATGCTCTCTGTGGTGAGAAATGAAGGGGAAAGGGGACACTGTCCAGCTCTGGAAATGACAAATATTTTATACAAAGAACTTTTCCGCAAACCAACAGCATCATAGGTACTTCATCACACTGAAATGTGTTTATATGTCTCACGTAGACATCACAGCTGCACTCTTCCTGGCCAAGAATAGAAGCAGGACTTACAGCTGACTGAGACATTTGGCAAATCACTATACAGGACTCATGCAGAAAGACATATTTTCAACCTAGGCTCATTGGAAAAACGTGCCTGTGGGCATTTCTACAAAATGATTTTATGCTGCTTCTTGCACATTTAGGGCCCTATCATTACACCTGGCTCAATGCGGGCGCGACGCAAGTGTTTTTTGCTAGTTTCAGCCCGATGCAGTTGTCATTTTCACGTCCTGTGCCACGTTGTTGAAATAGCAAATGCATTTGCGCCCATGAGCGTGCTGGTCTGAAAACAAGGTGTGTTCAGGCGCATTGCTGGTGCGTTGCTATTTTGAGGCAACTGAAATAGACTGCTCCATTGACCAACAAAAACCTGGTCTAAAGTCTGGCGCAATATTTTTTATTTTTTGTATTTATTTATTTTTTTGTTATTTAAAGAGCGCGTTAGTAATATGCGCCTATAGGCCTATACACTTTGCTTATTACACACACAGGGATGCGCAGGATTAAAATGTAAAAGATTATAATTGTGTACATAAATATAAAAATGCCTACATGTCATAATGGATAGTCTTTGCATGTATCAGAATTATGCGCACGAGCAGATCCGTTCCCTCAAGAGAGAAGTGTTAATTTTTTCCGCTTGCAAATTCCGCCATGGCGGGAGCGCAACTGGCTTTTAAAGGGAATGTGAGATGAGACTCTGATTGGTTTATTGCACGTTATGCCCAAAACACACCCATTACTCATTAAGAGAATAGGGACAACCCTTTTAGACCATGCACCGGGCGCGCCAACCATTTTTCCCATCCTTAAACTAGCAAAAGTGGATTCGGACACGCCCTAAGCGCAATTGCACTTTACACCATGCGCTTAGATCGTTAAAATAGGGCCCAAAGTGACACTATTAAAATGGAAATTAAAAGCTAAAAGCAGTTTGGAAATTAAACGTCCATTGTGTGGCACTAAATGGTTATTCTCTATTGTGTTTGAAAAGACTATATCACCTACACAAAACCCTACCTTAACAAAAGTAATCATGAGATTAATACACATTTGCTAAAACCATGCTTCTACAAGTCTATAAGCACTTTTTTTTTATCTTTTATGACCCATGTTTTATGGGACTCATACCCAAACGTTACACATTACAAGTGCAATGCTGTACCAGGCTACTGACCAAGTTTGTCAGAAAAGTCATACATATAGAGCTGTCAAAATATATTAGTTTACAAATTATGCACTATGATAAAAGTGTTCCCTTTTGAAAACGGTCTCTCACGTTGCGCAAAACGCTATGGGGGAAACTCCTGTTTACTCTGAATACTGAAGCCTGATTTGTTCACGTTTGTGTACAAACTACACAAACAAATGGCATTTCAACCGGCCAAAATGGCAGAGCCGACTGCCTATATAAGTCACGATCAGAGTGAAGATCATCTCTTCGCTGGACTCTGGCAGTGGAATGATGCTCCTCTTCAGCGGCCATCCGGCGAACATAAAAAAACAATTTTTCCTAGAGCAAATTTCCTAGCTCCAGGAGAATACAGACTACACCCCCAAGTGGTTCCGACGATTTGGTCGAGAGGGCAGAGGTGGACTTCTCATTGCCCAACTTATTTCTCGTGTGACGTGTCATCCATTCTAACCTTTCTGTAAGAGCTGCTGGATAAAGGGGCGCACCCCTTCCACGCTTAAAGTATATGTGTCTGCCATCATGGCGAATCATGCTCTTGTGGCTGGCAAGTCAGTTGGCAAAAGTGACCATGTTAAATTATTGATGGGAGGTCGGAGATTGAATTCACCTTGTCCTTATACTGTGCCAACCTGGGACTTATCCATGGTCCTCAGAACCCTTCGAGGACCCCTTGAGCCACTCCATTCGACCGACTTATGGCCCCTGTCACTTAAGACCACCCTCCTTTTGGCTTTAGTGTCGGTCAAGCAAGTGGGAAATCCTGTCCGCCTAATCACCCTGATCCCCTATACGAGTGGAAAAGGTCTTAGTTATGTAGACACCAGCCTCAGGACCTGGGTCTCATTGTTACCTCATGCTTCTTAGGAGCCCTCATTGCCAGTGTCGGGGGTAATGCATTACAAGTAATGTGAGTTACGTAGTCAGATTACTTTTTCAAGCAACTAGTAAAGTAACGCATTACTTTTTCATTTACAAGAAAATATCTGAGTTACTTTTTCAAATAAGTAACTCCAGTTACTTTGTTTCCCATGTATTGACTGACAGCTCTTGTGTTGCCATGTTGAGAGAAATCAGGAATAAGTGCAGAGCGTTGCATGTGAATATGATCTTACTGTAGTTCTAGACTAAATATGAACATGTATTTACTCATCTCACCTGCACAAAACAGATTCAGTATTCCTCAAAATGAATAAAAACAGTAAAAATGCAAACTCAAAATATGACACAAACCTGCATAAATATGCTTTATGTATTTAATCCCATTTTATTAACCAATGTCTTTGCTGCTGACCTTGAGCCAATTGATCCAATGATCCAATTCAACCATACAAATAAGCAAAAGTGAGTTTAGATAAACATAACATTTGTGTGTGTTTTTTTTATTGCTGATCGAAGAGTGTTGAGCTTTCTTTACTTAAGCCTGAGTCTCATTCATATCACTTTTGGTGTTAAAGGGCTTTTACATTTGCCAAAAATAGAATTTTTTTATATTAAAAACAAACAATCAAGCCCAGCCCAGATTTAAAAAGTAACGCAAAAGTAATGTAATGCATTACGTTCCATAAAAAGTAACGAAGTAACGTAACTAGTTACTTTTTTAGCGAGTAACGCAATATTGTAATGCATTACTTTTAAAAGTAACTTTCCCCAACACTGCTCATTGCAGACACTCCGGGGCTGAGCTCGCAGAGTGGCTTTGTTCTGCACTTATTTATAGCACGTCACTATTGGATACGTTCCCCATTGCGTTTTACGTAACATGAGAGACCATTTTCAAAAGGAAATGCTCCGGTTACTAACGTAACCTCGGTAAAGCTGAATGATGCATGATGCAGCTGTCGATGACTGTTACTAGCGGTTGAAAGGTTCTGATAAAATGGCATTCAGCACAGAGTTACAGCCAGTCGACTCTGCCCATTTTGGAGGGCTGATATGCCATTTGTTCGTGCAGCTACACGAACGTGAACAAATCAGGCTTCAGTATAAACAGGAGTTTCCCCCATAGCGTTTTATGCAATGCTCGTTCCCGTTATCTAAGGGAACCAAGGTTACGTTGGTAACCGGAGTGTTTTCAGGTCATAACATAGTATTGTTCAATATTGTTCAAGTATCGTTCTATATAGGAACCGAACGAAAATAAATCTTTATTAATCTCTCTTACCCCGTGATCATAATTTGTGTTAACAAGAAAAAAAAAGGTTGGTGTTTTAATGCCGCTAGTATTCATTTTAGCTGGCAACTGCTGTGAATTATATGTATAGGTAAGTTTTTTTTTTTTTTTTGCAAAAGCATGTTTTTTCCAGTGAGCCTGTATTTCCTCTCTTTATAACAAAATGTACATAACTTTGACAGAGGTTAAAAGCAAAAGCTTACAGTTACAGCTGGTTGATAGTTTAATCTGGCCTGTTAGCCAGCTGTGCTGATCTGATCCTAAGAGAACTAAAACAAGGCCAGAGAATCTAAATATAGACCCTGCTTTTCACAGTATTATAAGGCTTGACCTACGAATGACTAGGGCTTTTTGTAAATATTCTTTTGGGCTGTTGCCCTTCAAGAATACGCAAACATAGCCATTAATTTCCCTCATGGGGTTGTTTGTAGCAAAAATAATGTGTTGACAGTTCCAAAAGCAATTCATATTTTGTAATATTTGCGTACATGTTGTATTTTAAGATTACATTAGGGAACATCTTGAAAACATCTGTATCAGGAACTCTGCTTGAAGGTAAATAATCAGCATGTTGTTTTTGGACATTACAATTCTTTCCTTACGCCCCAGCAGAATGAATAACCCAGGATGTGATATTATGGTCCTATGCTTTAATAGCAGAATACTCATGAAAGAGATCCTGAGAGATTACAATGTTCATCTGTTGATTAATGAATTATTTCCTCATGGCAAGATTTAGCAGCAACATGACAGGAAGAGCATGAGGCAATGTGACAGGCTTACCAATATTTTAAAAGAGCACCTGAGGCTGGTGCGTGCTATACATTCAATGCCAAACAGGCTTCGTTTACAGTCATAGTGGGAAGGCTGCTTGGAGTCACTAAGCGGCATGATATTTTTAGCGCATTGAATATATATAGCATACTTGTAAGGTCATCTGGGTCACGTTCGCCAGTGTCATCTCACCATAAACAGGAGATGGCTGGCTAAAAGGGATTGTGGGTAATCTTCAGGAGAAAAAAAATAAATAAATATATATATATATATATATCCAAATGTTTTAATCACCACTACTGTATTGCAAACAGGACATTCTAATTACAGTAAATTGCATTCAAACTAATATCTCATAAAGAAAATTATTTCTGAAGGTCTCATGAAGTTCATTAACTTGAATCTTTTTTCTTAATGTATATGAGTGATCAAACTGAGCTTGTTTTCTGATTGTCGTTATTTCAGTTCTTCGATCACACAACTCGGAGAGGAAAGAAAATGAATGAACTGATTTATTTATCGATCCCAAATTTTTAATCACCGCTAATTATTATAAACTATGATTGCAATAAAGATAACTATATAGCTAAAAAACAAATAAATAACATAGAAATATCACATGTAGAGAGAAGTTTTGAATTCTTCACAGTGGTACTAATCTACATATATTGTCTAATAAGTTACTTTTCACTAAAACCAAAAATGTATTGTGTCAAAAGTAAGCAAACTTGACTTTAAACAGAGAAATCCTTCAATGAGTTGATGTCACTTTTTAAAACTGTAGTGATCAAATGACTGAATGGTCTAGAACGCTCAGAAGTTAGAGAGAGACTTTAAGTGGCACTCGTTCCTGGCAGCCTTTGCTTGGTGGTGTTGAATTCTGGTAGGACAGTCTCACAAATATAACAATCAGTATAATGCCTGTAAACAAGAACATAAAATGTGATTGCAGGAACTGCAAATTGTGTTATCCTCTTCTGTTTCCAGTCATTTCAGGATGTTCTGAATGAGCTGTGTACATGTCTCACCTATAACTCCCAGAGTTCCGAGCAGGATGCCCACTGTTGACTGAATAGTGGGCATGCCCTGAAGCTGTTTTGGTGCTGTTCTACAGTTCCCCCTCACATTGCATGGGCAAACCGTCACTGTGAGAGAAATATTGACCATTGAGCTCTTTTTAAATGGGTTATAGGGGCAATGGTTGCACACAGGAAAATAGGACATATGGAGCACTAGATTGAGGGTGATTGCATCGGTGAGGTCTCGTGGGAAACTAGCATGAGAGTCAGACAAGATGAGATTGTGACAGGGAGGGAGAGAGAGAAGCCATGCACCTGTGGCCATGCATCACTGGAGACTGTGTGAACAGGATGTTTCATGAGAGAATCTATTAAACCAATGGATGTGAATGCATGACCCAATCACACACCAAAACACACAGCATTGGTTCTCAACCTTTTTGACTCTATGGCCCCCATATTGGCTAAGATAATTCCTCTGGTATTTCTGCTGTAATTACAACACTGCTTGTTTTTAAACTTTTTTTTAATTAACATAAACTGGCAGTGTTGATATATAAATTAAACTTGCCTATATAAGTCATATAAGTCAATGCATGCATGAATAGTATAAAAATATTATTTTTTAGATAAGATTCAGGATACTGTATGTTTTTAAATACAAATAAGCTATTAAGGGGGAAAAGAAATATGATTTTAGATTATATCTTGTTTTTTTGTGTTTTAGCATTTTAATTAATTTACATTTTTTAACATAATTATTAAGTAATAATAAATAAATTATTTTAAGTCATCCTGTGGCCCCTTTAAGAACCTCTTCTTGTCAGGTAAATATGCACATACAGTATGCTCAACATAAAAATTATCAGTTTTTATTCGTCAAAAATGTTATTTTAATATTTTTTTTAATGTGATAAGATCAACTGGTTTTATTTTTTAATTAACCTGTATGCATGTTTTATTTATTTTTAAATTAATTAAATCTACCTTCAACTGCATGCATCCATTTTTAACAATGGTGCTTCCAGGGAATATGTAAAAGAAGGCAACATCTAAATAAACATTGATTTAACTTGAAAAATCTCACCTATTATCACAACCTCACATCAGTGAGCTTTATGAGAAAACAAGGCTCCATCATTACAGATACTGACTAAATTAGAGCTAAATTGTTTCACAAAAGTCCTCTGACTGAACAGTCATTAAGCTTATTTGTACATTTTAATGCTTGTTTTATCATGGAAATGTGGCTTAATTGCATTTTTATGTGTCGGGGGAACATAGTGAGAGATCAAAATTTAAACAATGTCATTTGTGACCTCCAATGAACATTACAGTCTCCAGTGAGCCAATTTAACATTGTGTTCAGACATCTGATGAATGCAATGTATGAACATAATCAAATGACGTGGTTTCCTTCTTTACGTAAACATGCTCTCTTTTCATTCATTCAGTTCTATGTTAGTCCGTGTGTTACCTGGCAGATTGATGAATGTGCTTCTGGGTGGAGAGCTGCTGTCTGAGATGGTAAAAGGTACAATGTAAACCTCTGGAGGCAGGTATGGGACATTCAAAGACAGGTTGGTGTGAGTGTCTGTGGAAAAAAAATGACATCCCAGCTTACATTTCTATGAAAGATCATAAAGAACAATGTTGTTGCTCTTACCAGTTATTATGTTGGCTTGACAACATAAATATTAGCAATGCGCTAAAATATGCTAGCATGGAAGTTAGTAAGGAGTTACTATAACATGCTAGAAACATGCTAATAATATGCTAAAACATGTTAGCAACATGTTACAACATGTTAAAATGCTAGCATTGTGTTAAAACAGCTTAGCAACCATCAAACTTAATTTTAAACTTTCAGATGAGGCCAGCGTCAAAGTTTGTCCTTACAAACTTTATTTTCTCTAGTTATTAATATGAGTTATAATATTTACCCTTGGAATAAAAATAATAATAATTAGGTGACACAACATTAAGTCAAGCAGTCGAGTGTAATGTTGCTGAGTAAATCTTATGGAAAAACTCCTCACTGGGCCCAATCAGGATTTGGCCATGTGACGCAGAAGCAAGAACTGAGTCCAGTAAACAAGAGGCTGTTATCAGTCTCTGCTCACTCTTATCAATGGCCCAAGAAGCCCCACTAGTGTCCTTTAATGTGCTAGTCAACAGGGGACTAAAGGGGTCACCAGTACTAAACTAGTACAGGATTATCTCTCACAGGTATCTCTCTTGTCAGAGGTGACCATTATGTTGCCCATGGCCTCCACATCAAAAGCTTTCTGGTGGAACCACTAAAAGAAATGTATAGTTAATTCTACACAATGTAAACAGTTCAATACAACTATCTATCGGGCCTATTCATAGTTGTCAGTCACGTGACTGGCATGGAGACCAGGAAAACTGCAGTACAAGCATGTCCATCTCTTTCATGCCATGAATATTTAGATCACCTCTCAAAAGAAGAAAAACAAAGATATGTGACCATATTTGGGCACATACACATTGTGAAAAACGCTTAACATGGCTTAATGTAGACTGTGATTTTAAAAGATCAAATTCAGTGTACACCTTATTGATGATGCGTAGTAAATACAGGCAAGCAGATGACTTTCTTATTTGTAATTTTGAATCTTTTTTTTATCCTTCATTCAAATTCAGTTCAAATTCAGGAACTGAACTCCATCAGACATTAAAGAGGTGGATGTGCTTGTATCATGAGTGGACACACACATCATACAAGAAAAGACACATGTTCAGGGTGAAATATAAATTGAGACCTACAGACGCCAGACTACATCATCCCTCACCATCATTCTCGACAGGCTTTCATGATCAGTGTTGGGGGTAACTCATTACAAGTAATGCGAGTTACGTAATCAGATTACTTTTTTCAAGTAACTAGTAAAGTAACGCATTACTTTTTTAATTTACAAGAAAATATCTGAGTTACTTTTTCAAAAAAGTAATGCCAGTTACTTTGTTTTCCCATGTATTGACTGACAAGTATCCTGTCCCCATATTGGGAGAAATCGGAAGTACAGAGGCGTTGTGTGCGCTGTGTGAAGATGATGTTACTGTAGTTCTAGACTAAATGTGAATGTGCATTAATTCATCCCACTCACAAAAAAAACAGATTTAGTATTAATCAAAATGTATTAAAACAGTGAAATGCAAACTCAGAATATGACAAACCTGCAATAATTAAATATGTTAAATAACACAAATGTATCTAATCCCATTTTATTAACCAATATCTTTGCTGCTGACCTTTGATGATCCAGTTCAACCATACTAATAGGCAAAAATGACTTTAGATAAACTAACAATTGTGCTGTTTTTTTTATTGCTGAAGAGTGTTTCTTCTCCTGTGTTCTACTGTACAGACGTGAATTTACTTTTGCTTCAGCCTGAGGTTTATTCATTACACTTTTTGGTGTGAAAGGGCTTTTATATTTGCTATAAATATAACTTCTTATATTAAAAACAATCAAGCCCTGCTTATATTTAAAAAGTAACGCGAAAGTAATGCAAAAGTAATATAACGCATTACTTTCCATAAAAAGTAACTAAGTAACGTAATTAATTACTTTTTTAGGGAGTAACGCAATATTGTAATGCATTACTTTTAAAAGTAACTTTCCCCAACACTGTTCATGACAGAGCATGTAAAGCTGAACAAGTAAAAAAGGAAGAGAGAGAGAGGTGAGTGTGGAAAAAAAAAAGAAACTCACTGTTGGATGTCTAAAGATCAGTCACATGAAAAGTCAATGGAAGTACACTTTTAGCCTCTCAACCTACCGGCCACAGCTGTGAGATCATATAAATTAAAGGCAGCATAATTACCCCATGTCACTAGAGGAGGCCTTTTTATCCATTAACAAGAAGGAAAAAATAAACTGAGAAATACTGAGACAGAGACCAAGAAGAAAAAATTGAGCGTGAAAGAAAAGGAGTGAACAACAGAATCAAAATCTATTTGATTCTGGTCCGTGACTCAGACGCTGCAACTAAGTCAACCTGCTCACCGGCATGAGCTTGGCACATTAACGATGCCTAAAGCTATCAGGAAGAGAGCCATTACGCTTATTACACCCAACACAGATTTGTCTGAATACACTAGACGTGGAGGGCAATTTCTTTTGTCAGTACGCTCTTTTCCCCAGACCTGCACTGTGTGTGATTCAGCAAGTGGAAAGCATGGCACCCAGTTCGGATGACATCTTAATTTGACTGTATAGATACTACAGCCACAGAACAGCAGTTTTTTTCTTTTCTTTTCAAATCTCTAATTTTATCCACATTGACGTCATTGCTAGAGGAGGTCAACGTAACCGGGCATGTCAGCGCTATTGTGATTATAGAAGGCTTGGGCACATTAAGGGAATGAGTGAAGATCGTCTGACATGTATTTTTGAAATGACTGACAGACAAATAGATCTTTAAAGACGGGTCACCTAGTTTTTGGGCGACGGGGAAGATTTGTCACTTCACATTCAGCCCAAGTATTATTCAGTATGTATAGGGGTTGGAAGTGGGTAAAGGAATAGACAAACCATTGATGGGAGTGAGCTTCCAGTTGCGGCGGACAGTGGCGTCACTGCGGAGGGAGAAGTTGAGCCTTCCTCCATGCTGGGGCCCATCGCTGTCCCGAGAGGCCAGAACCAGAGCCTGATCCTCCCAGCGAGGTGTGCACAGGTACTTCCAGGAGTAATCGCCCACCAGAACAGGGCTGTTGTCATTTACATCCAGAATGTGCACTGTCACCAGCGTGGAGGCCAACAAAGAGGAATTACCTGAAGGAGAGAAGAGGTGGCAGAAAACATTTTCATCTTAAACGGTATTTAGTGCGCATTTAGTCTGTGTATTTTAGTATGTGTGTGGAATCTCTTAAAGGAATAGCTCACTCAAAAATGAAGATTTTGGTGACCATTGACTTTCATTGTATTGACAACAAAAGACCGAGGCATTTTTATACATTTTCTGTTCCAGTAAAGAAAGAAAGTTGTACAGGTTTGGAATGACATGAGGGTGAGTAAAAGATGACAATTTTTGGGTGAACTATCCTGTAGGGTTTGAAATCAGTTTTAATCAGGTGGACCTCTAATTTTCAGATTCGAGTCCTCTCAAAACCTGAGCTAGAAATAAAACTAGTGATTAATTCCCTTATAGGAATTAATGAGTTAAATTCCTTACAGTAAAGTAATGACATCAGTAGATAATACGAATTTAAGTAATTATGGATTCTAAATTTTAATTTCACTTCATAATTAATTACAGATTTGGAATTCTCATTTCAAAAGTAATTTCAGTTCCTGCTTTCACATAGCAACAATATTTACTGATTCATTTAATTTTGAGTGCTCTCATAATCCAATAACAACAACACTAGAATAGTTAATCATTGACTATCAACAGGGCTCTGAAATCTTTAATGGCATTTGTAAATAATTAGGGTACTTACGAATTAATTTAATTAGAATTGCTCTTATGGTTGTAATAACATCAGTAAGTATTAGTAACTTGTTATCCTTAGGGATGCAAAGTTTCTAATTTAATTTCATAATTAATTACATATTTGGAATTTCATAATAAATTGGAGCCTCTTGTTAATGTATGCACGCTCCGCCTTGCAAGAAGGCAATTGGAAGATCGCGCCGTGGGCCGGACTTACGCTGCGGATCAAAACCCCACTGCAACACCGATTCAATAGCTCTCGCTCGCTCTCTCTCTCTCAAGACCTTTGGCTTTCACTTTGGTGACCGCGACAAGCGCTCCCATGCCGTAACATCGCACAGCGAGACTCCAGAACTCAAACACTTCAGCTGAAACTCCG